AAAATGGGAGTCCAAAACAATTTGTATTGTACTAAGAGATGTCTTCTCTTCCAGGTGGCCAAATTTGCTTCCCCTTCTGGACCCAGAGTATGTGGCTGAGAAGATAGTCACAGCTATTCGACAGGACCAAGTAATATTGGTGCTGCCACGCTTTGGTTATTTAGTCATGTTTCTGAAAAGGTAAGATTTGCCTTTCCTTGTTTTCCTCTCTCACTTTTCTGTCCAGGAATGTTCCAGCTATGTTTTGGCTAAAAGTGGAAATGAGGCTTCTACTTCTTGGTGTGAATTTTCCTTAAGTTCTGCACACTTTTGGAGTGTTGGGGTTTATTTGTTTCTAGGGCTTCAGTCTACCCTAGGACCTCAGAGGGATGACTGAAATCTTTCAGTCATGAGTGGTGTTCCTCTGGGCTCAGTGCTGGAGCCACTCCTGTGATCTGATAAGTGACCATTACTAAACTTGCAGATAACACTGAGCTGGGTGGAAGTGTGGATCTGCCTGAAAGCAGGGAGTCTCTACAGGGCGATCTAGATAGTCTGGATCGATGGGCCAAGGGCAATTAATTGTATGAGTTTCAATAAGGTAAAATGTCAAGTCCTGCACTTTGGCCACAACAACCCTTGGCAGTGCTATAGGCCTGGGGAGAAGTGGCTGCAGGGCTGCCCAGCAGAAAGGGACCTGTGGGTGCTGGTTGAGCTGAACATGAGGCAGCAGTGTGCTCAAGTGGCCAAGAAGGCCAATGGCATCCTGGCCTATATAAGGAACAGTGTAACCAGCAGGACCAGGGAAGTGATTTTACCCCTTTACTTAGCGCTGGTGTGTCTGCACCTTGAATAATGAGCTCAGTTTTGGGCATCTCAGTACAGAAAGGACACTGAGCTCCTACTGTGTCCAAGGAAGGGCAATGAAGCTGATGAAGGGTTTGGAGCATATATCTTAGGAGGAGTGGCTGAGGGAGCTGGGATTGTTTAGCCCAGAGAAAATGAGGCTGAGGGGAGACCTTATAGCTCTCTACATCTACGCAAAAGAATGTTATAAAGAGGTGGTCTGTTCAGTGAAGTTACAAGTGATAGGACAAGGTAATGGCCTCTAGTTGTGCCAGGGGAGGTTTAGACTGGATATTAGGAATAATTTATTCACCAAAGGGGTTATCAGGCATTGGAACAGGCTGCCTATGGCAGAGGCAGAATTATCATCTGTGGAGGTATTTGAGTCATATAGATGTAGTACTTAGGACTATGGTTTAGTTAAGGACTTGTCAGTGTTAGGTTACCAGTTGGACTCCATGACCTTGCAGGTCTCTTGCAATCAAAGTAATTTTGTGATTCTGTGACATACTTGTCTGTGAATTGCTGACACCACTGGGCTACAGTTCTAGTGTGGGCTGTAGATACTGGGCCAGCTCCTCAGTAACTGCATATCTGGTGTCTTGCCCCAGCCTTAGGACACTTCTGACTCAGTTGCAAGCCAGGTTGGGAAATTGATCTGTCTAAAAGGACAGGCTGCCAAAGGAGTGCGAAGGATATTTTGAGAGGACCAATGACAGTGTATTCTAGAGAGAATTCTGTCTTTGCCAGGATTAGCCAGGAAAAGTAGTTCTATGACAAAATTGCACAGTTCATCTGATGTCTGTTTTGGTTTTTGTTCCTCTTCCTCAACTCCCCTGTCTTACAGTATCTTACCAGTGAAAACAGCTATTCTCCTTGCGGACTATTTAGGAATCCTAAATCTCATGGATAACTTCAAAGGTCGAGCAAAGAAGGACTGAAAATGCCCAAAATTCAGAGACTAGCACCTCTCAAGTGGGCCTTGTTAAAGGTGGTGGGAAAGGTCTGCTTCTTCAGCAGCTGTGAACTCAAGGTGCCTCACTTCTCATTAGCAACCACTCTAAAGGTTAATCAACAGCTTTCACTTGAAATATTGGTTTTGCCTCATGCTGGAAATACGGTAATTGAAATGAATTCCTTTAGTTCTGTCTGTTCTGATGCCTTAAATATGATCCTTCATCACAAACTACTAACTGGCAGCTCTGGGGGACCAGGAAACCGAATGTGCTTGGCAGGGAGCCAGGAAAGCCTCTAGTGGCCCTGGCTTTTCCCTGCCATTCACTGAACATGAGGAGGGGCTGCACGACTGGTGCCATTAGCATTCCCTGCTAAACTCAGTCGTTCAGAAGTTTCCAGAAACATCAGGTTCTAGAAATGGAAATGTTGTGAAATGAAAATACGCTGTGTTGGTGCAAAACCTGTGAAATATATGTCTTTTTGGAGGTGGTGATCTTGGGACTCATTGATGACTATGGATGTTGGGGTGGGGAGGGGGAAGGATGTAAATGATGTGTTTGTGCTGCTAATCTACTTTTTGCCTAATTTATTTTAAAAGTTAATACTATGACTGCAACTTAGAAGCATCAATCTTTGTATCTTTTAAGTGCAATGTTCTAAGAATAATTTTTTGACAAAATTTCATCTCTTCAGTAAAATACACTTGTTGTCCTAAAGCAACTAAGCTGCCAGTCTGGGTCTGCTATCAAACATCTTGCCAAGTAAGACAGTGAGTTACCAAGAGCAAAGGCATTGCATTGCATTATCAGGGCTTTCCTTGGGGTTATTTCTCAAGGGAATGGTGCTGATAGAACTGGAGTGAATGGGATCATTACAGCCATAGCTCAAGTAGCAGCATTTTGTTTTGCTTCTCTGAATTGACTGCCAGGTTGCCTTGTCTCTACAGAGACACTTTTAACACTACCCATTTCCTTTGGACACATGCTGGGGAGGCCTTGCCCTTTTTGACAATGGTTGCTTAGAAAGCTGAAAGCCCTTTGACTTTTGGTAAATGCAAAACAAGAAACAAGAAGATTATACCTGAAATGTATGCCATTTATACAGGTGCTGGCCAAGCTCACCTCATGTCACAGTGCTCTGCTGGCAGTTTGTAACACCTGCAGACTAAGACTAAAATACATTAGCATGCAATTAATTGAAGGATAGTATGGAGAAAAGGGTGATGGTTTTATTTTTTTCCGCACAATGGCCTAGAAACTACCTTCCTTTGCCTTGTCTGTGCAATTAGTGAGGTTTACCAGTGGAGAAAAAAATAGGTAGATCTGCTTTACTACTGGTGAGCAATAAACACTGAGGAAAACAAGTGTGTTAAGAATGGCCTTTTATGATAGGCTGATGAGAGTTAGAATTCAGACTGATGAAGAAGAGGTTTGTCCTATTGTGCCTTCAGATCTGCTTCTTTTACTACCATACAAATTCTGCTCATTTACAGTATGCTTCAGGAAATTGAAGTTGCTGACTAGAAAACAGGTATTACCTAAATGTGCTGTCCAATATGTGCATTGCACTGTTTGCTGGAAATAAAGTCAATCACTAATAACTGTGTGGTGTGTCTATGCCTTGCAGATTCCCCACTTTTTTATGCTAACAGAGCAGATTTTCCTCCTAACTAGGAATATTAGGTGTGCAGGATTCTGGAGCAAAAGAGTAGAGAAGTGGATTATACCTGTGAACAGTCTGCATCAAAATGCAGCTCTTGTGGGAGCAAGTAGCTTTTCATTCTTCATGTCTCTGCAAACTAGTTCTGCTGAGGGGAATTGAAAGCAACCCATTTGGCTGTGAGATTTGGGGCTTCTCAGCAGGTCCAGGTTGTTGTTCCACCACTGGGAGGATCTTGCCTGATGATCTGTGCCAGAGAAGTGCATTTTCATAGGTATTTTAGTACTTTGTAGAATCTTTGAGCTTGGAAAGGACTTTTCAACTCAGCACAAGATCCATCAGAGCAGATTGTTTAGTTCTGTGTCCAGTCAAGTTTTAAATATGTCTAAGGCTGGAGAGTCTACAGCCTCTCTGGGCAACCCCTGCCAGCGTTTGCTCTGTTTAAAAACAAAGAAATTAAAGCTACATTTAAATGTAATGTACTTTTTCCAGTTTGGGCCCATTGCCTTCTACCCTTTTAGTGGATAATCAAAAAGCTGGCTATCTTTGCTTCTTATGGGAAGTCCTAGAAGTCATCCTTTTGATCCACAGGATTCTTGAAGGCTGGACCTGTATCTGCTGCCTTAGAGAATTTCCTGAACTAAAAAAGGGGTAGGTAGGCACTGTGTCTTCACGTTCCAAACAAGGTGTTTTGTAAAGAGGATAAGAAGGGTGTTAGACACTTTGGAAAAGCAGAATATAGGCATGAGGAGGATATGTATGTTTGTTATCAATGTAGTCTGTTCTTTTTCTACTCCTTCCAGTAGTCTTTTCAATAGAATTTCAAATTGTATTGGATTATGGTGACCTTAAGGAAATACAATGATTCATAAATTAAAAAAAAATACAGGGATCTTGCACTTCACTGCTAAGTTATTGACCTTGAAATGCAAAAGTCTCATGGGAACTAGCAGAAAGCTGGTGATAGTAAATAATACCCTTTGCTGGTGATAGAACCATAAATGTTGATCATAGTGAACAAAGAAGCCCCCTTATCTGAGGATTTTGGAGATAGAATAGAACAACAAATTATGCCTTTACAAACCAAATATGAGTTATTTGTACTGTTTTGAAGCACCTGATCTAGACACTTTGAAATCCATAAAATTACCCTAAAGAAATCTACACTGTTTATTCTTACATTCCTACATGTAAACCATTAGAGCTTCTGTGGTAACTAATGAAATTCTTCATTTCTTAGGGCTTCACACCCATGTATTCCATGAAATCTTATTTGGAAGACACTCTGCCACAGGACTGGTCACCAGATTTTATACACCTACAAATATTTTTAAAGAACATTTTCACACCGATAGATCTCAATCTTTACATTGTAAACTACATATAACCTAAAAGAAGAATTAGTTGAGGTGAGGAAGCAGCTCAGGAAAGGCAGTAGCTACAATAGTCACTTGCAGTGACTGAAGGCAGAGAGTGCTGAAAGGTGTTTATTCCTAATTGGGGACATAATTACCCTTCTTCATTCCCTACTGTGTAAACAAGTAAGAAGCTTTGACTTTTGTTGAGATGTATTGATAATATCTGCTAATCAGGGGCAGAATGGTTCTGCATCTAACTTTCATCAACCAAATATTCATGGCACTGTGTCAGTAATGACTTACTAGCACTTCAAGATTTCTGGAAATTCCTTGGCTGTCATCCCACTACCACTCCCAAGTTGGACTGCAAGGAGACTTGGATGGAAAATATTAAGAACCTTTGTATTTTGTCTGCGTAGAGGAAGGACTGGTACAAATTGACTGTTGTTGTGTCAGAGCTTTTAAAGAAGACCAGAAAAATGGATTGATTGCAAATGGAGTATAATTGTGCAAGGAATAAGATCCCTCTTAACAAAAGCATTTCTCTTGTGAGAAAAAAATACCTGTAAACTTACATGCACATACATTTTGCTTAACTTTAGCATAAAGTAAATAAAATGGTACTTAGTCTCACTAGTCTGGAGAATTCCAACACTAAAATGGCTGATGACTTGAAAATTAATTGCTGTAGAAAACCAAAAAGAGGCAAATCACAGTCAGTACAATAATGGTAATACTTGTTTGGCTCTAAGATTTGTCTGCTCTGTCGTGCAACTAAGCACACAGCTTAGTGATGGCTTTCCACTGAGGTTGGTTTAGAATACACAGCATTACATGCCACTTAGAGATGTATGTGTGCCCTTGCATTTGTTTTCCTAAGACATTTGGATATCTGCATTCACTATGTGGTGATATTTTTGGTAAGAACCTCAAATAGCATCAAGTCCAATGTCTGCTATTCCAGACAATGGAATATTATTTGATACTAAAGATGTGGGATGTCCATGGAAAAATATGGGAAGGAATGTCTCTGAGTAAATCTCATATCTGTTTCTCAAACAACACACTTATCATAAGACTAATTTGAAGTCTTATTGAGAGACAGGAAGCATGATTGTATGAGCAAACTTGGCTCATATTTGGATTCTGCCACATCCCTGGACCTTCCCCCACAAAAGTGTTAGTAACAATCAGACTTGTTCCAAAAATAAGAATTTATGAAATTACACTTTCTCATTTAGCTTGGTCCTGCCAGGTGATAAACCCTCTGGCTTTGCTACAATGCAGTGTGACATAGATACACAACTCTGAATAATCCTTTTTGGCGCTGTTTTCCCCACCCTGCATGCCTAAGAATTTAACAATCACTGTGCAACCATTGGTTTGCAGGGGGATTTTGACTCAGAGGACCTTGATAAAGGTGATAGGAAATATTTGTTGGGAAAGGATGACCTGGCCCCCCAGCTGAACAGTGGCCATGATACTGCAGCTCTCCACAGGCAAGGTAGGAGAGCTGAAGTTGTGCTTTTCTTGAGAATGGAGCCAATCCCCAAAAATATACTAAGCCATCCAATAAAGATGCCAAAGTAAACAACATCCAGCAAAGTAATTGCCATTGTAGATAAAGCTTAGTCTTTTCCTTTGTGCTTAATAAATTATATCCACTTGACAGTGGGGACCCAAAGTAATTACATGTGCCTACATTTTCTTCAAGCTTCAGCCACTTAAGGAACTATTACTGCTTAGATTAAGTAGTACAAATCTGTACCACATCAGCTGGAGAACAATAATCATGCTGGTTCTTGCCAAGATTCACAATAAAGATTGGAAGATGATCTTCTCACCACGTCTGCTTGCTTGTCAGTTGGTGCTACTGTTGCTGAGAATAGGCAGCTGCCTTATTCACTACTTTTCTTCGATTGGTAAGTGGAAGAAGGTATCAACACTGAAAGAAAGCCCACTGATTG